AACTCTCTATCTAGTTATCCTTGACCATAAACAACCTGGAGTAACTCATGAAAATGAGTAAGCATTTAACAGCCTGAGCTAGACATCCTGTCTACACTAAAAACATTTCTAATACAACAAGTACCTAACCAATATCTATCTGACTGAAAATACCTAACACTATACTGCTTATTTTGCATTGTTCGCACTGTTTGTTGCTTGTTAGTACTGCTTATTTAGCTATATTACACAGCCTTATGCTGGTTTATGGTTTACTTGCCCCTTGCATGGGGATATGTACATGCACATTGAGAGCCGATGTACCAGAGTCAAATTCCTCGTGTGTCCAACACACCTGGCCAATAAAGGAGATTCTGATATTCTAGTTAACACTCAGCATCTAACCCCTAAGCCACTTTATTAAAATGATGTATCTGTTACAGTACATCTGTTTCTGCATAATTAATTGTGGTTTTTGACTCGTGAGGTGTTTGCCAAAATAATGAAAATCTAATAGTTATCTCAGAATAAGAGCAGCATCCTATTGTTGTCACAGCAGGTACAGTACATACTGTAATGTTGATGCTGCATTCACACATTCCTCCCTCTACTCCTTTGTCATGCCACTTCATTGAATCACTTGGATTTAGACACCCCTGTTTGCATAGACATTTTCAATACTCAGACTGGAGTAACAACAACAATTCCTTTCAACATCTGTAACAAGCTGCTCAGACACAGTGGCTGTGTGAGTACAGATGTAGATGTTTAAATTGAACAGTGAGTTAATAGTCTTGTAACTTCTTGACCTGCACAGAGGGTAACTGATAACAGCTGGTTTTGTGGCTTTACTTTTGTAAATCTGGACTTAGGCCAGATGCTTTTAGAAGGCTATATTAATGTGAAGAGCAGGAGGATATCCATTAAAGTAAAACAGACATAGTAAATCAGCCAGATGGGATGTACAGCATAGCTATTAATTTGAGGTTGTGTTATCACAGTTACCACATGGGAAGAAAATACATTTGACATACATTTATTATGTATTTCAGAATGTGTACTGGATTTAAACAAATTAAATGGATATTTAATCAATTTCCACTGTCTTATTATGCAGCTCTCATGCATACATTTTTATTCAAAATTCATTTCAGACACCCAGCTTCCCTATTTTAGGCATTTTCCCCCAGTATTCTCTAAAACAGTCAGTACCATATGTATGTTGTATATTGTATGTTGTAAATGTTACTGTTATTACCAAGGCTCTGTCAAGATTGCTTATTCATACACAGAATTGTGCTCTGCTGGAAAAGGTAAAACACAAATCAGCAACATTGTTTATGCCAGTGATAGCATGTTTGACTTTTCCTCTTTGACTGAATGGGGCCTGTCAGAAATGGCGCGCGATGCTGCCGACAAGGGTTTGGTGAACTCTATTACAAAGGGCCAGACGAGGAAATGTAAAACAAAACTGTCTTTTTATTAAGCGCACTAACATTGAACAAAAAAAACCAGGACAAGACACGGTGTACAAAAAAACACACTTACGGGTTGGTATAACAGTCTGAGATCAGAGCCAGCAAACATGTACAGCAAAGGTAATCCAAAATGCGTAGTCCGAAGGGAAGTCCGATAATCATGCACAGTGACAGTCCGTAGCAAGAGGGCAAGGCAGAGCAGAATAGTCAGAGGAACAATCCGGGTCAAAAACACAAAGTACCAAAACCGAAAAATGCTGGAAAGTCAGAGCTGGCGTCTAGAACAATCTGGCAGCGTCCTAGTGGGAGGACGCTGCCTAAATAGACGTGAAAACAGGTGTAAACTATTGCGAGTGATGAAGAAAGTAAAAAGACCGAAACTGTGGTGAAACAAAACAGGAAGTAACGTCAAAATAAAAGCCGGACAGGAAGCAGCGGAACCGAATCATGACAGGGGCCAATCTATCCCTGAGCAGGCTAGACAGTTACAGGAAAAGTCAGTCACTCATCAGCTGATCTCCTGTCACTCTGTACATTTGTGTGTTTTTGGAAATGAAAAATGACACTAATAATCTCTCTCTTTCTCTCTCTCTGCTGTAGTTGTGGCAGCAGAGACGCTGGTCAGAGGCCTGAGGAAACTGCACGACGATATTGACTGGTCATACTCAGGTCTGTATGAACCAGTTATTTCAAGGATTCAAGCTTTTTCTTTGCCATTTATGCATAAACAGAAGTCTAGGCATATAGGAATTCTTGTGCAACTCTCCTTTAGAGTCAGGTAAGGAATCAAAAGCCAGAAAGAACACTTAGTCTTTTAATGCTTTGTCCTAGCGACAAAGCATTAAAACCACAATACACAAAAACAGTATTTCCCACAGTGAACTTCAAACATTGCACTTAGTAATTCACATAGTGGAGTTAGTTATGCCATTACGCTTGGTGAGGTAGTCAGGGGCTACTGCACATGTCTAGTAAGGGGTTATTGCACATATATTCTCACATTTTTGTATTTGCCATCAGTCTTACTGCAGCAGGGAAAAAGCTGTTGTAAAGTCTAGTTCTGTGTGTGATGATACTGTCTACCCTGCTGTGCCTGAGGCTGTAGGTGCAGTTTTTGTGTCTGAGCAGAGAGTGAGCTGGGTGGCATGGATCTCTGATTGTTCTCTGCCCTTTTACGAAGGTGCTGTGTGTATAGTGTGTCCATAGCAGGCAGTTCAGTCCCAATGATCCTCTCTGCAGTCTTTATGACCCTTTGAAGAGCCTTCCTCTCTGCCTGTGTGGTGTTACCATACCAGACTGTGATGCCAGTAGTGAGGATGCTCTCTACCAGTCCTCTATAAGCCTGGGTGAGAGGGCGATGGTTCAGCCCAGCTTTTCTGAGCCACCTGATGAAGTATAGCCGCTGCTGGGCCTTCTTCACTGTGACAGCTATGTTCAGTGACCAGCTCAGGTCAGATATCACGTGCAGGCCCAAGAACTTGTGGCTGTCAGCCCTCTCCACCTCAGTCCCTTTGATGGTCAGAGGCCACAGAGGGGAGGGGTTCTTCCCGAAGTCTACTGTTATTTCTTTTGTCTTGTTTATATTGAAGATGAGGTCATTCTCTCCATAAACAAGAATGTCATTCACCAAGCTTTTATAACCCGACTCGTCTCCCCCCTTGATGAGGCCTAGAATGGTGGTGTCATCAGCCCATCCAAGATGGCCGCACACATGTCGTCGTTGTTGTAGTGTGTCGCTGCTTGTTGTTTCGTTTGAATTTTTGTTTAAATCTTCTTTGTTTAAATCTTCTGCTGTGACCTTTATTGAGTTTCAGGTTGACTGTTTTGAATTTGTTCGCTATAGTGTGGGTATGCGAGCTCACTTAGACAAAGAAGAAGAAAATCAATTGCAGACAACCTGGCTGGATGCTGTCGCGGTTTCCTGTGTGGTGCTGTGAGTTTGACCAGATTGAGGTCTTCCTTGTCGTACAACTATTCCACATTACACTTCGGTGGGCCGTGACTAGCAGAGGGCGAGCTCAGCGTAAGGGAAACTGTTGATTAAGTTACTGCTAGTCGCAATTAGCGGCGGCAAGGGGGCTGTTGGCTGTGGACTAGAGTAGCTGGGGGCTTGTGTCGGAATAGTCGACTATTTAGCTGACTTGTTGATCGACATGGGATTGTGTCAACGACTGGACTATTGGCTGCGGGCGGAGGAGCTGCGACGGAGGGATGCTGGGATCTCTATAACAATGGAGGAGGCCACCTGAAAGCGATTTGTGGTGGTTATCGGCTGGGGTGTGGGTGGCTGTTTGTGGGAAGATTTTCATATTATTGGGGAACTGACCAAGTCGAAACGACATGTTAAAAATATGGGTTAATGGTTTGCATATCCCCTCGATTACCCATTTAACAGTGCACTGTTCCATAACTAGTGGGCAGTCCTTTAAATATCGCATGTGTACTAATGACGGTGACAACATGTTGAAATCCGTTGCTAGGCGGAAGTGCTTTGTGTTGCTCTTGTTATTATTATCAGGAAATATTCAGCCAAATCCAGGCCCTTTGAAGAGCAACATCGGCACACCTGATGAATTTAGAGCTAGATCAGGACTTGGGATCCTTCATCTAAATGTTCGAAGCCTGTTACCTAAGCTGGATTTAGTAAAAATTTGGATTAAAACTACTGATACGGATATTCTAGTGCTTTCTGAAACTTGGCTAAATAAAGCAGTTTCAAATGATGATATCAATATTTCTGGCTATAATATCTTTCGTTGTGACCGACCTAGGAAGGGTGGAGGTGTGGCTGTGTATGTAAAAAGTAAATTTCAAGTCACTGTTCTTTCTTCAGTTTCTATTCCAAAGCAATATGAAAGTCTGGTATTAAAGGTTAAGACTTCAAAGGAGCAATTCTTTACGATTATGAGTTGCTATAGACCTCCTTCAGCCCTCAGTGAGGCGCTTGATTCATTGAATGAATCATTTGCTGATTTAAGCTCAAGTGAGCTTTTGGTAATAGGGGACTTGAACTTACAGTAGACTGGCTGTCTTCTTCTTCAGATAGTTTAAAATCTATTTGGGATTCTTTAAGTCTCAGCCAACTAATTCACAGTCTCACTCAACCAAATATTAAACATCCTATGAGGTCATCTTTGTTGGACTTAATTATGACAAATGCTCCTCATAAGTATACTGGTGTAGGTGTTTTTGCGAATGATCTGAGTGATCACTGTGCAGTTGCTACTATTAGAAATGTAAAGTTGCCTAAAACGAAGCCTAGGATATTAGTTAAACGAGATTTTAAGCGTTTTAATGAACAGGCCTTTGTACGTGATTTGTCCTCTTTTCCGTGGTATAGAATTTCCCTTATTGATTCAGTAGAATTAGCGTGGCAGTATTTTTATGAAGAGTTTTTAAGATTGATAGATAAGCATGCGCCGTTCCGCTCTTTTAGAGTGAAGGGGCGTGATAATCCTTGGTTTTCGTTGGAAATTGGTAACCTCCTTAAGGAAAGAGATATTGCCTGGGCTCAGGCCAGAAAGAGTGGAACAGAAGGAGATTGGCTTCGTTTTAGACAGCTACAAAATAAATGTACACTCTTGGTAAGGAGGTCAAAGTCTGAATTTTATCTTGCTGAAATATCAAAGAGTATAAATGATCCTAAGATGTTTTGGAGGACTATAAAATCTACTATGAACTCGATACCAACGAATGAGTTGCCATGTTTTTTGGTTAAAGCGGGTGTACATTTGACTGATAAATTGGTCATGTTGGACCATTTCAATGAACATTT